GATAGCCCATTTATTTTTTAGTTTGACAAGCAGGAGGGGAGTACCACCATCAGCTAGGTGATTACGATTTTTATTAATTAATTTATTAAGATAGGATTTTAAATTGTTAAATTTTAAAAAAGGTTTTATTATTATTTGCAAAAGTTTTTATTGTTGCTGTTATTATTATTTTACCTAGCCTGATGAAGATCGGAAAAAAGAACGAAACCAGTTGCTCCAAAGTGAAAAATAAAGGAATATACAGAAAGACGTCTTTTTTATTAAATTAAATTTCAATCCTCTAACATAAAGCCACAATTAAAGAATAAAATATTTTTATTAATGAGCTTTTTTGGCATGAATGAAAAATTAATTTTTTTTTTTAATTTTACTCAAACCCTTAAATTATCATGAAGAATTGGCCGCACAAAGTTTTGGGTATTGATCTATTCAGCACAAACTAAGCTATAAAAATCAATTATCAACAGTTATTTATCTCATATTGTTTGTCTTTTATAGAATTTTGTCCCCAACGCTGTTGCTATTCACCTTTTTATCTCAGCAGAGATGTCATTATTTGCGTTAACTTGTAAATCCAGATGAACAAACTCATCAACTCCTTCGAATAAGTAAGGACCAATTTGGACAAAATCTCATTAGGACCTCTAGTTTGATCAGAAATCATATGCTTGTTTTTACAATAGTAACAAGAGTCCTAGCTTTTTGGTAGCATCCTTGAGAGCAACAAAGGCTTCTTCCACAGCAGCTTTTTATCTCCCAATTATGTAGAGGTTATCCACATAGCCTCGTTTTTGTATTATACACATTAAATATTGTTCCGCTCATCTGCATCTTTGATTCTCTTATAGCATTTTCAAGACCAACATTGAAGAGCAGACAGGCGAGTGTAAGGTAAATCCCATTGACAAGCACAACATTCAATATTGCTCATTGTAGGTTCTAACAGTCAGATAAGCACTGTCTAATACAGAGGTTCGCCTTCGACGCTGTCGTAGACATACCTAAAAACAACAAACAGATGGTAAAGCGAATGTTTGTTCTGTGCTTTGACTTCACTTAATACGCTTCAGATTTTCCCTGGGATGCTAATAACATGACGTAGCAATTATTAGTACAATATATTTGAGATCTTATAGACACAAGGCAGAAGAGAGATGCTTGGATAATTACTGCAATTATTTTAGTTCAGATTTTGCTATATTTTTTTAATTCTAAGGCATGACCTTCAGAATTGTGTAAGTTATTCCTTGGCCGTTTTCGGAATCTCATTTACAGTATGATCATAGGATCTTGGCCCACTCCTCGAAATGAGGCAACACCTATACTGTACAGTAGTAAAAAAAAAAAAAAAAATCAAAAATGTGTTGTGTTCAGGAAACTTGCTTGTTCTATGAGTCTATCGTAAGATATCTTGATATTTATTTTATGGTTGAAAAATATTTATTTCATTAAAACTGTTAAATTATAAATTAAAAACTGTCATTATTCTCACTGAGGCTAGAATAGGTAGAGATTACATACGTCATTACCCATTCATCTTGTTCTAATTGAAGTACTTAAGGAGTTAAGATCTTAAATAAACAAGGTTTATTATTGTAACAGTCCATGCTTTCCAAAGATGAAAGCATGAAACACAAAATAAAAAGTCATCAACACATAGTTCCTAAAATTATAATTTATTTCAATTTGATTAATTAATGTGTCAGGTTGGAAATTCTAATTTATCATAATTCTTTTCAAAATTTTATTTACACTTTTCCTTGCATTATCCATTAACAGAAAATTATATCTCTATTTCAACAATGTAAACAATAAGTGAGTTTTTTCTATAACTAACCTTGGTGCAAAACATATGTATGTTTGCTATTAAATATCAGTAAAGTATATGTTTATTACTAATTTAAGCAATCTATCACAGCCTAGTATATTTTTAAAATTAACACCACAAAGAAGAAATTCTACACATCTTATTATTATGTAAAAGATTTACAATATAGTAACTAATCAAATAATAAATTCACCATACTATAATAATTATAAATATATATTTTTAATTAAACTAAAATTTAATCTTAAGCTCATCTTACACGATCAATATAGAGTCAACAATATTCTTGAAGGATGTAAACATAGTACAAAAGTCAATATAATTGTTACAATATATCCCTTAGGCGGTCAATATATTTGATATAGACCGTGTAAGGTGGGCTTTCAGAACTGGGAGAAATCAACAGCTATTTTCTCAAATTTTGATTACACTATAAGTATTAAATATGTATAGTTAAATAGGGAAAAATAGCTGTTAATTTCTTAAAATTAAATAATGTTTCTTTCAAAAAATGTAAATATAAATTTAATATCAAGTGAAGAATATAAAGATGCAGAACAAAAGCTAATAAAGGAGTAATGATTAATCAAAAGATTAAACAATACTGATTTAATTTGTTATATCACTGAAACACAATTATATATATAGAATTATAATTCTAACAAAAGTAATTTATTTATTAACAAAATTAACATATGAAATTAAAGTTGTATATAATAAGTTAATAATAATTATATTTCAAACAGGAAGACCCTCTTTTTATTCTACTGAATCGGATTTCTAGGGCAGCCTTAATTCCAGGAAAATTATTGATAAATATTTAATTGAACCAATAAAGTCCTAAATGATTAAATTAATTATTAGACTTTAATAATTTCATAGGGATTAATATTCAATAATTAAAAAGACCATAGAAAAAATTTTAACCTTTCCACTCAGGCTAGAATAGGATGGTAACTTGGTGTACAACATTCCTATGTTTATTAGTGTTCACAAGATTTAACCAATCAAGAAAGTAATATTGAATAACTAAAAAATTAGCAATAATTGTTTGACCAACAGTTTTTTTTTTTAATTTTGTTATGTTAACTGATGTTCGAAACTTGTTTTCAAAATTACAAAAGAACAGTTTGAATCGACCATCCCAACATACTTGTTATTATAAGTCTAGCCTGTAGGAGGGCCCTATTATCTGAAATCGGAAAGGCAATTACTTTAAGAGCAGAGGAATAAGTTTGTATTTCGCAATTAATTTCCTTCAATATGTCAAAATATTAACTAATCTGCCACTATTAATTATTTTTTTGGAATATGTTGTTCATATTTATTGCTACTTTATTTTACTTTTTTCATTTCATGTTGGAAGAAGGGGTCAGCTGTTTCTACTTGCTACCCCAATTGAATACTATGAGTCTCCAACAAATCAAAACACTATTTTTGATAAGTTCAATAACAGAAATAGAATATACACTATAATAAGTTTATGAGCACAGTAAAAATTTAAAATTGAAAATAATATTGTTTAATTAAAAATGTTTACAAACATTTTTATGCTTGTATAAAAAAAATAAAAATAAAAATTGGAGATAAACAACAGCACACTAAATAACAAAATATAATTGACTGAATGAAAGAAGTTATATTTCTTAAAATATATTAATTTTGTATACTAAATAAATGGGCTTTTGCAATGATTTATTATATAACATTTAATGAGCAAGAATACATTTTTATTTTCACTTATATATTACATATATAGTAAGGGTTAATAAAAGAAAATTATTGCGATCGTGAAAATTTTAGAATCTGAGTTTTCAACGGAAATACATGTTTTGACGCCCCCTGAGACTAAATAACCAAACCTCACAAAATAGTCTGTGTGTGTGAGCAATCTAGCTAAAACAAAAAGTTGTAAACAACTGAAGTTGCGTGTTTAGTGTTTGCACATGTCTGGAATGTTACAAATTTTTTGTCAAAACTGGTTAACCGGAAGTGCCATATTATGTCAATAATTTTACACATTTTTACAATTTTCTCAAAAAACACCTCCAACGATTTTGATTAAATTCATTATATCAGTGTTAAATTAAGCAGTTTTTAATATAATGTAGGTCTCATTCTCATTGATCTTCTCTAAGAAAATTTAAATGCCTAATTATCAAAATTTCTTCCTCTTAGTATCTTCAATTTTTTTTACTTGAAATAATTAACCATTTCACATAGTAGACTGAAAGAAAAAAAAAAATTTAATGTGATAAATAAAGAAAATTTATTGGTAACTAAAGCAGAAATAAGGGTTGGGAGCTATGGGAAACAGCCGAGAGCGCTCAACCTTTGCCGATCCTCTACCTTACTGATAACCGATATACCTCTGCATAGGGCTTTCATATTTTTATTTTAACTTTAACATATCACTTATCCATAACTTTCTAAAAAGGTTTTCACACGAACTGTTGAGAATCTACAAATAATCATTGCAAAAGCCCTTTAAAAGGTGATTTTACAGATCTATTAAACCTATCATATATATTTTTATATAAAAGACAATTGTTAATATAACAATCTGGGGTACGGACACTAGAAAAAATGCTTAAGTACTTATAATTTTACTTTTTTATATGTTTTTTTTTTTTTTTAAGTTGAGGCATGGTAAGAAAATATAAAACACCATTAAACTGGCTTTTTACAAGTGCTATAAGGAATATAAAATTAAGAAATAATACAAACTTCAATGGTTACAAAAATTAATTTAAATACAAAGATACATGATTGGAATGGATTAAATGGAACGGAAAGTTTTTTATACAATTCTAATAACATAATAATTATATGTATATATGTTAATAAGGTACCATTTGTTTAAATAGACTAGTATTAATCACAAATGTATCTCTAATATCAAACAACATATTTTATCAACATCTGCTCGGAAAAATTTGTACAATATAAATACATAATATATATATCGGGAATCTGCAGTTCTGTACACTACTTACAAAACAGATGCTGAATGATAAAATTTAACATTAATTTAAGTAATGTTAGATACAACAAATCAAAGTTAAAATTATAATAATCAACAATGTTAATAGCTAATGTACTGATACTAAAACTATACACAAAATATTAGCTATGTGACCTAATGCAATAGCACCATCCTTAAGGAAAATTATTACTTTCCATCCCAAGGTGAAAGTTGACCATTGTTGAACGCAATATTCAGAAGAGGCCACGTGTTTTCCTGAGATGAACTGAAAGGTGAATCAATCCCAGACGATTCTTCACCCCAACCCTTAATATAAAAATATTAAATTTGTATTTAATTTATAATAATACTTATAAATATACATATAAATAGATCAGGTCCTATAATGAAACAATATGTTTTAGTAAAATATACAAAAATACATAAAAAAAACAAAACTAAAAGATGAACAAGCAGTAAATTAAATAAATTTTGTCTGCTTGATAGAAGTATCGCTTATGATAATTATGAGATTAAAATGTATGAAAACGATACAATGTACGCTGCATATAAATTAATTTTATATAAGTTATATTTATATTCACAATATTTCTCACTTCTTCTTCGGTGCATACTATTTATTTTCAAGTTAATTTATTATTAGCCATATTTAAACCAATTTTAAAAAAAATTTGTCACTTAATGACTACTCATCACAATGACGACTTTTCGGCCCGTCGAGCCATTTTCAAGTCTAAAATACCCATTATGTACCTGTCCTTTTCACTTATGCGAATTGCAAGCGTCTACTCATAATAAAATTCCTTATTATTGTCATGTTCACCTTGATTCAGTGAAATAGAAATGAGATGGATGACATGTGGGTGACTCAGAAACAAGGTGAACATGACAATAATAAGGAATTTTATTATGAGTAGACGCTTGCAATTCGCATAAGTGAAAAGGACAGGTACATGATGGGTATTTTAGACTTGAAAATGGCTCGACGGGCCGAAACGTCGTCATTGTGATGAGTAGTCATTAAGTGACAAATTTTTTTAAAAATTGGTGTAAATATGGCTAATAATAAATTAACTTGAAAGTTATATTTATAATTTTTAAAAAAAATTTAGTTAATCTACATAATGAAAATAAAAATAAACACAATACCATAGTCACATGGGTACAATAGCTTTGAAATTCTTAAAGCCCAAACTTAAGGAAACTTGTTAAGCCTTTTATCTTAATAATTTTAAGGGGTATACTTCAATTACAAATAGGGCGTCTAAAAGTTGTTTTTATGAATGGCATTGATATAAATTTTTTAAATAACATATGCAGTCGTACATGGGGCATTTTCATAAAATCAAAATGTTAGTGATTATAATTACTCCAAACCAAAAATAGATAAAAGTAATAATAAAAAAAACTTCTTTTTACATGATTTACTGTCAAATATAATCAATCCTTAAAAATTTATAATTCATTTACCATTACTGTCTCAAAAAACGCAGACATTGCTTTGTCTAGGAAATAGATAAAGGTGAGTTTGTTAAAAAAAATTTGAATTTTATTCATTTAGAAAGAAAACTACAGTACATATCTAACATGTACATATTATAAAAGTCTTGTCTTTATTTTAATCTGACATTATCAGTTAATGAGATTTTCCATTGAAATTAATTTTAAACTATTGGTAATGATCATAAAACACTATACCTGTACAGTTTCAATAAATTCTTCCAGTTTAGAAGACAAGGCTTCATTGTAAGCTGTGAGATTTTTCAAGCTGAAAAATATTAAACATCTTAACTTAAAAGAAAATTAACAAAAATACATTCAGAAGGTGTAAGGAGATGAATGGTAAGCTTAAAATAAAATAAAAATGATTGCCTAATGAATAATCAATAATTAAAAATGAATCTCTGGAAAAATAGTCAGAAGGTATACGTATAATACATCGGAAAGCACAGAATTTTAGAAAAGACAATATCTAATATAGAAAGTCGTAGAAGGTAATGGAGAGTGACAAAAATTTTTTAAATAATAATGTCTGAAAACTAATATTATTTAATGGAAACCACATCTTTCCCAGGAAATTTAATGACATTTCCTAATGAAATGTTAACTTTTAAAATCATATCTAAATTAAAAAAAAAAAAGTATCTAAAATCTACTGAATAAAAGCAATGACATTGTTAAAAAAACTATTACAGTGAACTTGTAGGAAACAAGAAGTGAAATATAAAAATATTTCATGGATCTATAAAAGGTATGTTTATAACCTAAAATGTATTTTCTATAGGTTAATAACTAATGATCCGTTATCACATTTAAATAATAAGGTATTGTCGGTTTATTCTGAAAGTTCATCATGCAAAATTTTAGAAAATTAAATTAGTGAATAATTTGATGAATTTTCTATTTTGTGAAATCACATTAACCACTTATAGTTAGTGTGACAACTTTTGACCTTTAGATAGTGAGAAATGAAAATCTCGTTGCTATAACTCAGTTTTAGTAAACTTTACAATGGAAAAATAAGAGTTTAATAACTAATATTAGTACAATCCATAATCAAATATTGGTTAAATATACAGATGTACATTCAAATCTCTCTAGGCATATATAGTTCAAAAACTTGATTCATATAGTTTACAAAAACAGATGGAGTTATGAGGTTTTTATTGGCTACCGGCGATAAATTAAATATGGTTTGTGTTGTTGTAATTGTATTAATAAGTTCTTAGCTATTTAGGTTTAAGCTCTAGCTCCATTACAAATGCACTTCAAAAATTTTATAATAGTCCAACATTGCCAGAAAATAATTTCTATTCAAAATAGAAGGGTAAGTGAAAATTGTGTGATGTAGGCACAAGATCTTTAAAATTCTAGATGCATTTATTTTTAAAACCGAAATTGACAAATGTACAGAACATGTTTTTGTTCAGTTTGGATTATAATAAATCTGTTTATTATAGCTCAAATTTTCCAAGATGAACAATTGTACTGGAAAGAAGGAACCACGATACAGACTCAAGATCTTTACTACACAACTCTGACATGTTATCTGTTAATTAAAAAAAACTCCTTCCAAGAAATATTATAATACAATAAGTTCTGTGAATATTATTATAGCTCACCTGTCTGCTTGAGTGAGTCTCTCTACAACGGACTTACAGATAATGGCATTTAGATCTGCATCAAAAAGAGGTATACCATATGAGCAGTCAAGAAGTGACCAATCAGATAAATTTGTAGGGGATGGCGTTGAGCTTAGCTTAATCCGCAATGGTAGACGACATGGTACTTCTTCCTTGCTGTCACTATCCCTATTCAAATGGAATAAAATTTAAAAAAAAAAATGAAGAAATGTTTAAAATATTATTTTTAATAATTAAATAAAAAATTCAACATCCATTTTCAATAACCACTTTTAACTTTTGTTTATCTATAAATGAAATATATATATATATTAATATTAATTTTATATATATATATATATAATATATATTAATATTAATAGGAAATATTGCGATCATGAAAAATTTTTACTTAATGTACAGCAGCTTTTTCATCAAAATCGACTAATTGGAAGTGGTTCTATATAATCAAATTTACACATTTTTAAATTTTCTAAAAAAAAGAATTATTTTTATTAAACTTTTATTTCTTACATATAAATGTAAAATCAAGCGATATTTTATATCAGGTAAACTTAAATGCCGAATGTTCGAAATTTCTTCCTCTAAAGTATCATTTTATTTTGTACAATTTTTTTTTTTTTAAACAATCAACTACTTCACATTTTTACTAGAAATAAAAAAAAACATTAAGTTAATAAGATGGAACTGAGAACTATTGAAGGCCGCTCTGAGAACGCGCCTTGGTTATCAACACAGTCAGAATTTTATGGTTATTTAGGAATATGCATAATACACAATTGTATAGGCAAGAAACTCACATGTCTGAATTTATAAATGATCGCTCTAGTATCATTAACCATTAAATTTATTGACACACAAATTATCATGAAGATAAATGATTCTAACCTAGTAGGTGAGCTCTGGCTAGAATCACCAAGGCCGTCTAATTCTTGTTCAAGAATATGAGCACATTCTTGGCTAGTAAGGCCATTCATCGGTTCACCTTCCTCCTTCATTGGGCTAGTTGTATAGGCTTTTACTCTTGAATCTCCATCACCACCTAGGATTTAATATTTTTTTAAAAAACTTTGAATAACTTTTAGCATTTGTATACGGTCATTAAAATGAGAATATATAAATGAAACCAACCTGACATGGTCTTGATCCAAGCTTCGACGGAACTTGGAGTAGCTGGAGTGTCAAGGCAGTGTAGATCGGTCGTAGAAGAGAGTGGAAGCCTTAAGCTCGCTTTTAAAGTAGGCGGCGGAGTATCAGGAGGTAAAGACTGAGGAATCTCGACCATAGTAAGGTATCCACAGCTTTGTTTGAGTCCAAGCTCCCTCTCTAGCCTTAATACAGCTGGGTGTTGCTTCCATAACCCACGGCCATTTTCTGTAAGTGGTATCAATAATTTAATGAGTTTTGGCACTCAAATAATAAGTTCGGTCAATGTCTTATGTACTACTTTTTAGTATCTAGGACTTACCCAATTTCGGGACATATCATATGCTGAAAAGGGGGACAAAGATTCCTCGAAACATTCACTAATGAATAATAATCAAAACTAAATGTGATTATTTATTTTACTGACCTATAGATATGAAAATTAGTGAAAACATTTAGAATATCATGAAAATTAACAATCTCAAAAATGATACTTAAAATTTTGATAAATACCTTCCAAGAAAATTAATTAATTATGAAAAGATAATTTTAGAAAAAGGTCAAAACATGAAAATGTAAGATATTTTAAATATTAATTAGTTTGTAATTAAAATTTTAATGAAAAACATAATAATTCTATGGACATTTTAACTACATAGTTTGAAACAAGGTACTAACGGATAACTTTCTTTAGTTTTTTCAATTTATTATGTCTCTGAGTTACTTAAAAATCTTTACGTGGTTCATATCTCAGGTAAAAAAACTATCTAATCTATTCAATGCTTTAATCTATAATTGTTTGATAATATTCAATGAAATAAATAAGCATCTTAAATTTAAAAAACACAAACTAACTTACATACCATCTTCGGGATTTTCAAAGGGAAAAGGGATAAGATGAGTATCAGCACCTTTATTCACACCATAGGCCTAAAAACACACACACAAAAATTATTCTTTAATTTTATTACTGAATATATATATATGGTTCAGAAAAATAGATTTTTTTTTTTTAAATGATAGTGATTAATAAAACCAGAGAATTCTTTAGTAAGGGATCTGTTTAGGAGTCAATAGTGCAAACAAATAACATTCAGTTCCAAAGCAACATTATGAACAACAAGGAGTTATTTTGGGACCCTTATCCCAATATGCACAGCCATCATGTTCTCAAATTTAAGAGTAAGTTATAAATTAAGTAGAAGACTTAAAAAAATGTATGTGTACTATTTAGAACGATTCATAAACCACACAATGAAACAAATGCATTGTTATTAATTGGGATTAGAAAAGAAAACAGACAGAAGAAATATGGAACATAAAATAAAAAAATATATACTAAACTTGTAAATATTAATAAAGAAATGTGTCACCCAAGCGGAATTACAAGACCTAATGAAATAGTTATGTGCTATACAAATGAGAAAAATATGTGTCTGGCATAAGTTTCACACTTTTTTAAATTTGTTTTCAATGGAAATAAACAGATTTTTTATTATATCATTAGTTAATGAATGACAAAGCAAAACAGGTCATGGTGCACCTTTATGCCACAAAGAAACATATTATTGGTATATAGTTATTTCTAATAATGCTAGAGCGTTCTAAAAAGCCAATAACGTATAAATTAAAGAGCTAAAAATAATAACATTTTCTGTGTTTAAATACTATAATCTAAAATAAATCGAGTAATGAAAGTTTTACATTTTTTTTTTTTTTAAAGAAAGAACAGTTATAAATCAAAAAACTGTTGTAATTAATTCTTATGTTTAAAACAACTACAGCTTTTCAAAAATATACATTACAATAGAGAATAAAAGCTTATCAGCAATCAACAAATAAAAATGAAGTCTGTCGATGCTTAAACAGATTCCTATAGGCTCCAAATTAAATTTAATGCCTTTTAAAAACCTAAAAGTTTCAGATTCAACTCAATTAGTCAACATTGAGATGAGTATATATTAAGATTATTTTATAATTATAAGTTTAGAATAAATTACGAGCATAAAATAGAGCTTGTGTATAATATATAGTTCATTTTCAAATATCAATATTATTTCATTCTTTATAAGTATTTCTAAGAGAATTTTCACAAACACTTGTGTGCCTATACCTGAGCTAAAACTGGTGAATAGCACAGTGCATCATTCAGAGTAAACAAAAGGCTTGATGTGGCAATTACTGTAGGATCATGGCCCCAAGATGTGACCAACGCCTTATCGCATTCTCTCAGCACCCTGGGTAGCTTCCGCAGACGAGTACCTTGGTTAGTTAGTTAAAAATTAACACATTACATCCTCTTTCATCAAGACTAGCAAATGCATTACCGTTATTCAATAAAAATATTAAATGCAAACTGTGCATATTGAAAAAAAAAACTATTAATGAATAGCAAACAAAATCAGTTATATTAATGAAAAAAAGGTTTATTCATTAAAAATGTAATAATACACTTTATTTGACAGAACACTTCACTGCAAAAATTGTACGATGTAGGTAAAACATAAAATGTATATAATTAGCCAATGGCACAGACCCCTTTTTTATCAAATTATTAACATCCACTTAAAACTTCGTGAACAGCTTCATCTCATCGTAACTTACAACTTTTTTATTTACGAAAACTTTCAGAATTGGGACGTTGTTTTCAGTTTGGAGATTGAAAAACTTTGTATTTTTAATTAGGTACCAACAACTAATGGACACACATTTGCTTTCCACTTAAAATGTAAGATAATTTGATCACAAAGTCAAGAAAAAGGTGGTCTACAAAAATATTGGACAATCTGGCATGACCTCCACTCCCAACATATGAAAATAACGACATTATACAGGCAAAACGGCCCAATATTTTCATAGCTCAATTTTTTTTTTTACCAACTTCCATTGAAGTAGAAAGAAAATAAGTATTCATGAGTTCTTATTACCTTATTAAATTAATCAATTTAAAGAGAAAGTGTGAGAATATTCTTGGATAAAAAATTTGTAGTTACGATAAGATGAGCCAATCATGAAGTTATGAAGGGATGTTAATAATTTGATAAAAAGGGGTCTATACCACTGAATTAAATTAGTCTGTGGTACAGAACCCTTGTTATCAAATTATTAACATCCACCTGAACTTTGTAAATTCATTTTATGGTAATTTACAAATACTTTATTTATGCAAATTCTCGGAATTGAGGCATTTTCAATCTGAAGATCGGCAAACTCTGTCTATTTAATTAGATACTAAAAACATGTAAATACCAATTTATTATTCACTTGAAATGTATGATAATTTGAGCATACATTGGAGAGAAAAAAAAGATGGCCTTCAAAAATATTGAGCCATTTGGCATGATCTACACCCCCAAATTATAAAAATAACGAGGTTATATAAGCCAAATGGTCCAAGATCCTTCAAATTTTTTTTAAAAATTAATTTTGTGATCAAATTATCTTACTATCCAAATGAAAAGCAAATAGGTATTTATGAGTTATTAGTACCTAATTCAATAGAAAAAGTTTGTCAACCTCCAGATTGAAAACGCCTCAAATCCAAGAATTTTCGTAAATAAAATATTTGTAGATTACGATGAAATGAAGCTGTTTACGAAGTTTCAGGTAGATGTTAATAATTTGATAAAAAGGGGTCTGTACCATGGACTATATGTTTATAAATTCAGTCAGGTCAGAAAAGAAAATTGTTACCTACTAATAAAGAATTTTTTTTTCATATCTTGTTATGTTCTTGCTAATAAGTTTTGTCGTTATCTTGCCTTTATAATCTTTATTTATTATTTTTAAAAGGTGCTTTCATTTATTTATTTTGTCCTTTTCCTTATCTTCATTAATACTTAATAAATCCAATGACTAAGCCATTATTTTAAAGATTACCTTCTCCTTCAGTGTCAAAAAATTAGAAAAGTCAGTGAAAAAAGTTATGAAGAAAAGAAAAAATTATTTGAGCAAGTTATGCAATATATAAGAATACAATTTATATTTGATTATAACAAAGATAATTTGAAAGGTTTCTGAATTCCCTAAAATATTAAAAAAAGAAAATCATCGAAATTGGACAGTTATTACTAAAGATGTAGATTATTGGAATTCGTAAACATGTTTTAATTTATTATTATAAAAATTTATAATTATAATAAAAAAATAAATTTGGAGATTATTTACACGAGCCAGTTGGTATATTTTTAATGATATATTGCAATGCAAATGAAAAATTTAATAAGTTATTAATAAAGACCATGTATATTCAACAAATCACCAGAACTTTTGACAAATCAATCGAATGTACAATAAAATGAACCACACTATATGTAGCATAAGATTTGCAATCAAGATTGATTAGATACAAATGAGACAACTCCATACAAAAAAAAAGTAATAAGAATAAAAGTATAGAACCTCTTGCAAAGAGAATTGATGGGGGTCCACTTCTAGTAATGTGGTATAGAAAAAGTTTAAACCAGAGTGTGTGGGCCAGCGGACAAGGGGGTCCAAGATGTGGAGGATTAATGCTTGTAATAGGTGTGACTTCACCACTCAGTGGAGCCATCGACACTAGCAATCTAGAAAATATTTAATCACATCAAAATATAATCTGAAAATAACATTTTTTATACATTTATTTATTTATTATTACAGGTAACCACTAAATCCTATCTGGTCAATTTAAATTTTTAAATAAATATATAAATTAAAGATTTCTTCAGATTTCCAAATCCTCCAACTAAACTCCAACAGCCGAAGTTGATCCAGCTTAGGAACACACATTTTTGTTTTCCATACCAGCCAAATTAGCACACAGTGTTGAAATTTTCGCAATCCTATAAACCACGGATTATTGTGGAGATATATATTGAATCTGTAACATAATTATTTCCACAGACTCTGCCTCCTTTTGTTGATTACTAAAAACATGCTCATCACATCCCAAAAATTACATTCCATGTACTCTGAATCTGCAACTCAAGCGACAAAATATAGTACAAATTGTAAGACTGTGGACTAATTACAGGTGCACCAAGAAATATCTTCATCTTATGAAAATTGAAAAGGATGGAAATTGTAAAGTATATGGAGTGCCATAAGTCACACAGCATGGTTAGATGTAGGAAATACACAAAAGAAAGAAAATACAATTTAATACCAGAGGACTCAACAATCCTAAAAAAACTTGAATAAACACAAGATGTAAGACAAGATTAAATTTTTTTTTCACAAAAACAGTGTAGAATTTAGTGAAATGGAAATCTGAAGAAATCTTTTATAAAAATGTAGTTTGTTTTTCTTAGTATTTTTTCTTTTCTTTCTTCAACTTTTTAATAAAATTGAATTGTTTGTATTGTATATTTTCATTTTTTATTGTCTCAATTTGGTATTATTTTGGAGGTAATTATTTTTTTTATACACGTACACACATTTCTTTAAAAATGTTTGACCAGATAGAATTCGGTGACATATTCTTTTATACTGCATATAAAATCAATAAATTTCTAATATAACAATATAAAGTTTCTTACGAATAATTTTTATTGAGAAGCCTTGTACAAGTTTCCCGGTCAAGAGATTGCAAACTTTCACACCTGACCAAGTCTAGACCTCTATGCCTAAGTGCCAAGACTGTTGAACGCAGGACTAACGCATGTTCAAAGTACCTCCTAGCCTCTCCTTCACTATCATCTCTGGCAGTACTCACCTGTAATTGAAAAAAGGAGGAGATTGTAATTTACTAGCTGTACTACACGCGTAGCTTTCACACAAACATTATATTATTATTATATTTCTCATTAAGCGCCTATTTCATACACATAATGAGTACATAACCTCATTCTATTTAATAAACTAAGCAAAATCCGAAACAAGAAAAACGATAGGACAAATGATTTAAAAAATCATCTTCACTTTGATGACTTTGTATTACCAAAGAATTTTTACAAGCACGGTTTACTTTAAACTATTTCAAGAAAATTCATAGTACTTGAGTGTAAAAACCATTTTTGGTTTTTCTCATTGTGGTATAAATATATGTTTTCTCGGCAACCTGATCTAGATAAAGCAACATATCTTTGTCCATGCGAAAACCGTCTCCCTTAAGTGGACTCCATTATACTTTTTATAGCCCCTTTTTTACTTTTCAGATAGCTAAATTGTCTTGAAATTCTCCCTTTTCTCTAGATTTGAATTTACGTAACCAATGACTTTATTGACAATATTTTATATCTATACTCAGCTTTATACATTAAATCAGTATAGATTAGGCAGTCGAGTAAGTTAAGGCGCCTGCAAAAATTTTATGCTACGAGTTTAAAAACTCGTTCATGGAATCAAATAACAAAAAAAAAAGATAAAAATATAAATAATTAAAAATAAATAAATAAGTGCAGACCCTACTCGATTGCTTAGATCACTACGGTGTGGGTTCGATTCCCGCATGGGGGCGGTAACGTCACCACCCTGAGATTAACAGGAAGATGAGAGCGACCTCTGTGTCTGATAGCATAGCTCCTTTGGTCCTCCAGATTTGGGGATTGGGCACAGGGCTAATATCCCTATCCCATAAAAGCAACAACAGGATAGAGGCAAAAGATTGCCAACCATCCTGATTAAGAGGGAGTGGTCTGGTTATTATAAACCACTTGCTCCCTGGATATCATCTACATAAGAAGAGAACCAAATGATTACAGCTTTATTGCCTAGAACAGCCCCAAAGCTACAAGAAGGCTAATGGCGGAAATCAAGAGACAAGAGGCGTTAAAAAAGATAAAAGTATAGATTAAAAATTAAAAAATGAAACTGCAATTCATTTCTTTTCAAAATATTGTAACAGTAAAAAATTTAAAAAATATACCTTTTCAAGCTCACAAAGAAAGCTGTCCATAGTCTCATCGGTAAGCTTACCTACTTCAAACATTGTTACAGCATGACTTTTAAGTCCCTAGAATAATAATTTAAAAACAGTCATTTTTAAATAGTGGAAAGATTGATTTGATTATTTTGAAAGAAATAAAACTCATCAGTATAATTTAATATACTCACAGGTGATAAGTTTCCCATCATGAGAAAAGCCGTAAGTGTCGAATCAAATAGAAAAGCAATCCTAGTCTTCTTAGGTAAATTATTTTCTATATCTTCTTCTGAAGGTGACCCGAGGTCACTATAAACTTTGCTGAAGGATGGTATCATCTCTGTTGAAGGACTGAGCACCCTGAAAAATAAAAAAAATTCATACTCATCACATTGATTTTTTTAGTTGTAAAAAGATAATAAACTGCTTAATGATATATTCCTTTATTAATGTTATAATATCATCCTTAAGGATTAGATCACTCCAATTACTTTATGACTATATTCCAATTTGTTTGATCAGACAAGGAAAGGTTCTTGATCTAAACTGGTAATAGGGAAGTATAGTTTACAGAGAACAATAAATTTTCATGTGAGCTAAAAGACCAATGTGCGGATGTTTTCGTTTTCATAAAAGTCCGAAAGTGTGAGGTCATATTAGGTTTGAGTTGAGTGTGCTGTCAGTGATTGGGTATGAGGTTTGTTGTGCAACACCTTACATACTTGTCTCTCTGAACAGTTAAATGTACAAAAATGTGTAGACAACTTTAGACATGACTCTCAACATCCCAACACAACACTAAACCACATTTTCTACATCATAAAGTTACTTGAAAATTAAAAATACATATAGTAAGTACTTTCATATCATATAGATTATTTTTAGTAATAAAACATTCATTGATCAATTGAAATATTCTGACATTTGGGTGTTTTGATTGAAGATTTTCCTTAAATTTATTCCTCGGAAAATTCTACTGCACTATCGATTGCAATGATGATGAATAACTACATGCCTATACCACTAACCACTGACATTCATACAAAAAATAGCTTAACATATAAATATTACTATATTTTTCTTATTAATAAACATGTTCATGTCTAAGAAATGTAAAAATAGCAAGGGATGGAGTCCGCAAAATATGGTAGACCAATAATTAACATGTAATGAAATAATTAATCAATTTGTTATTTTTTTTTTTTCAACATAAGCGCACAAGTGGCAATGTTAGATTAAAGGATGTCATGAGGCAAACTGCTGTAGGGCAGTGAAAGATTCCAACAATATTGTCCTTTGTTTGTTCCAATGATGTACAGGCATAATCCAAGGTGTATTAGGCAATCAAACATCATACAATAAAAAAAATAGGTAACCACACACACGGTACAGAACAAATGATATTATCCATGGTTTCTATCCAATAAAGATGTTTTCAGTAAAAGTCTTATAAAGATACGTTAAGATTAATAAAAATTAAAATACTATTTATTCATAAACTAAACTTGATTTCTTAAAATTTATTTTCTCCAAAACAATTCAAACAATTAGCTTCGAAACTAGTATAAAGTTTTCTCCTGGAAGCATTTTATTTTTTCATACATAAATCATTGCTGAAGAAAAAACAAAAACAAAACAGGAAAACATTATGAAGAAAAGTGATTTTATTCATAAATAACTCAAAAAGTATACATTTTATGGACGATTCTATACAACCACTAGAAAGTTGATAAATTCTTTATGAAATAAAAAATCATTTAAATTAAAGCAGTGTTACATCAATATTAGGTTTCCCAATAACTTGGAAACTATACATCTTTCCTTTCAGAACATTCTCGATGGTCATTTGAAAGATATTTAATTACTACAAAGCTAAGATTAAACAAAAATGATTTAATAGGACCAATATCAACAACGATACAGCAAACTAATTTAGTAGAAGTAAAGTTCCTAACGAAAGGTAAGTCTTGTGAGCGAACACTCCAGATATTTTTGTTTAGATGAATTAAAAAATATTTACGACACTCACTTTTCCTGATGAGGAACAATTTTTATTCTTAGAAAAAAAAATGGATAGAAATTTTCTATATCGTCTTTTAGAATAAAGCAATTCATTCAGTAAAAGATAGCGAAATAGCTTGTCTCATAAAATTTATATTATTCACATAGATAAGTTAATTGATAAAAGTAGCATTATAATAAATGTAATTAGGAAATTATTACATTTTTGATTGTGCAGGATTCCAAGTAGGATGCCATTCTTCAGATTCAGGTACTTTTTTCCTAGCGAATCCAAGTCTACAATAAAGCGACACAGCCTGCTTAACAGCTTGCAGATCAATTTGCAAAACACCTGCGAGCTATTACAATAGATATGATAATCAACAAATATTTAAAAGTTATTCATAAATCGGTAAAAATATAAATCTACAAACCTCTCCTACAGAAGTATGTTCATCAATAGATACAAATATTTTATACAACAAAGTTTCAAAATAATCTCCTAGAACACGATTCATAACGAAACCTTCTAAAGGTGGCACAACGATATGATCAGTATCTTCAATTGGAACTTCAAGATAAATAAGACCCTTTCTGAAATATAAAAAAAGATTATTTACAAGTTGTTAAAGATTCATAATTAGCTGTCATATTTCTTTAGGAAACTTATAAGTACTACTAAATTTTACTTAACCCACCTTCCTTCATTATAATACACTGAAACTCAAACTGAGGAGTCCACACAGGTTCTATAAAATTATTTTAAATATTTTTAAACTAAACTTGCCAATTCTCAACCATTTAGAAAAAATTTCTAAAAGAATACCTTTTTGCACTATTGTATAACATTAAATAACATTTTTTTTTTTTATTTCCCCCATTTCTTTATTTATATTGTTATGTTCAGCTTCATATTTTGCTTCTCTCAATTTCTTTAAGTTTCAAATAAATATTTTATTGCTTAAGATGGAACATTGTATTTTTGATAATAATGAATGTTAAAATATTTTTTTTTTTACTAATAAAAACTTTATATAAATAATCCTTAATCGTGTAAAAAAATAAAAATCTGGTGTGGTGCGTGCATCACACAACTTTCACTTACCACCCTCTTCTTAGCAGAAATAAGTATTTTCAGACAAAGCGAAGCGAAAGTAAAAATTATAGACTCTATATTTATTTAGATTTCATTGTGGGTACTTTTATTAGTATAAGTACCCTCATATATACAAATTTTAATATTTATATCTCTGTAATCTATAATTTTTTTTTTTATTTATTTATTTTTATTTTTTTTTATTAACGAAATTTACAACTGTAATTAATAATAAATACAACAAGTAAATATGAACAAGTAATATGACAAGTACAACATGAGGAGAAACTACCCATTGGTAGCACTCCAATTATATTTCTATATTAGAAGGTCCCGAGGCCATCTTCTTTTTAGACGCCTCGGAGGGTTATCAGGAATAGAAGAGGAAGCAAGGTTGGAAATGAGAGGGTTCGGATGGTTCAGAAGTTTATTATGAAAAGACGGGTATCTGGATTGAGCTAAATCGGAAACATATGGTACATTAAGGTCATTATGGATGATTTTATTTGTGACAAAGTAGGGAGCATTAAGGATTTTATGAAGGATTTTGGATTGTAGGGATTGGATACGGGAGGAATTTGATGGTTTAGTAGAGTCCCAAAGCTCGTATAAAATTAAATATTAAATAATACCAAAAATAGCATTTATGAAAGCCACATATGTATATTTCTATCTCCTTTAGTTAATTATCAAATTCTTTCATATTTTACATTTAAACATTTTTCATATTAGAAATTGATGTGAAATGGTCAATTGTTTCAAATAAAAAAAAATAATGGTATTTTAGACGAAGCTAATATTGAACATTAGCCATTTAAGCCCAGTTAGAGAATATCAATAATAATAATAACCACATTTTATATAAAACTGCTTAATTTTACACTCATATGATGAATTTAATCAAAATCGTTTGAGCAGTTTTTGAGATAATCCTGTTTAGTCAATTATATAAAGTGGCACTTCCAGTAGGCCGATTTTGACGAAAAAGTTGCTGTAACATCTCAAGCATATAAAAAACTTAAATATGTATTTTCACTTTCGTACTACTTTTTGTTTTTGAGCTAGACTGTTAAAACACACACACAAACATACACATACACACACATAAGCACAGACCATTTTGCGGGACTTGGTTATTTGGACTCAGGGGACCTCAAAACGTGTATATCTGTTGAAAACTCAAATTAAAAATTTCCACAATCACAATACTTATTACATATATACGTAAGTGAAAGTAAAAATCAACAGTGTTTTTGTAGATTCTGAACTGGTCATTCAATATAATTTAGGATACACCAATATCCCTGTTATAATAAAGCAGCAACACGTTGTTAGCCCAATTATAAATAAGGATAGGAATGTTTCATTTCAATAGATTCTAAGTCATTGTGAAATTGGTTTACCAAAGGAAGAACATTAATAGATTTACCTAACCATTCTTTAACTTACTAGGCTGAAAAAAAGGTTATAAAAGAAATAATTGCTGGCTGACAAACAGGAAAACAGAGAGAAATTTTAATTGATACTGGATGACTTCCAATGAATCTGAGATGTGGCCAGTTCATGGCTAATGGTCATGATTATCTTTATCATTCTGGTGTAGCAAACAATAATGAAGGCATACTTTGCGCAAATGGAGACATGGACACTGAATTTCTTTTTCATTGTCCTGTATTAGAAGATATTCAAGAAAATTTAAAGAAAATGAAGGAATTAATGCCAACAATGAACAACTATATATTAGGTTGCACATACAGGAATGACAAAAGTGGCTGACATTACAGTGGTGTTGGATAAAAAAAATAGATGGGACGCCTTTCTAAGTGGAGATGTACACATAACTTATGTTAATTAATTATGATTTTGAACCATAACCAATCCTAGCAACAGTAACCAATCTCTATTGAATGCTAATCAGCAACTTTTTGGTGTTGTGATTGGGGTAGCACCCGGGACACAGGAATATTGATGAATTTAAAGTTTTAGCATCATAAAATCAAGTACTTACTTATACAAACTATGAACAAGATTATAATCTAAATCCCCAGCTCTCTGTTTCCCATAGTCTATGATTCGATCAATTATCTCCTTTTCTGCTTGAGAAACTATCTAGAATATAAAGTAATATAACAATAATGGTTTGTCAATTATAATGATAATTTACAAATAATTTTAAAGCATGTAATTTTACCTTCATATCTTCTTCAACAATGTATCCTGTTTCAACAATCCACCATGGTTCTATGTGAATGTCTATAGGTTTAACAGGCAGCAAATCTTTGATGTTTTTTCTTCTAAATAGTTTTCTTCCAGATCGACACTGGTTCATTAAATCAATATATTCATTACGTCCTATGCCAAGAAGTCTTAGACCTAAAATTTCTGGTATGTTTAATAAAACTACTAATATTTACATATTAACATGTCAGATAATATTCTAAAAATATCTTACAATCAGCAGCAGTGAAATTAGGCAGAGAGTCATAGCTCCTTTCACTATCCATTATTGTTTCTAAAACTCTAGTGTAATATTGAAATGGTGTCACACGCAAACCTTTCACAATGATATCACTTAAGTGATATGGATAAAGTAGGAGGCTAGTTCTGCTGTATGTTAATAGCTCTTCATAATATCGTGGTTCATCTTTCCTGACATGAGAAACTATTCACAAAACATAGAAGTATAACAGATAAAAATTTTACACAAAACTTAACTGATTACATCAAACAATTAATTATAACATACCTAAATTAGTTCTGAATCTCAATTGGTTTTTGGTACTAAAATTTACAATTGCCTTTTCATATTCTTTCTGTGAATTGCCAAGACTCTGGATGACAAAATAAAAATTTACAAAAATATTCATTGGACTGAATTTTATAAATTATAAATTACAATTTATGTACCTTTTTGACCCCAGAAGGCAATTTACTCCAGGGAATGTTGTTTCTGATATTATATTCTACTTCACTATTCATTTTGCTAAGATGTATTACTTATAGACTATCCCATGAAATCAACAACTTTATAAAAATATTTTACTTATTAAAAACTATAAGATCAATTACAGTTCATAATTGACAAGAAAGTCGGTTTGTTTTGATTAGGATTGACAATAAACAGCTGTTATACATGCCACTCGTGCTTGCCCCCTGACACCAAAAGATGACCTCTTTGGAATCAGGGTAGTAACTTATAAATATGCATATACGCAATTTTTCGGCGTTAAAGAAAGAAAGAGAAAACAGGGAAATACGAACATTTCTAAACTGCCTTGATCAACTAGGAAGTGTTTACTTAACCAAGAAGCACAATCTTCTTCCGCCACCTATCTGTTATTTTACATTACCTCAAAACTATCAGTAATGAACAATGACGTGCTTGTAGAAAAGGTGTGGCCGACAAGAGGCATTGGATTTAAGATTGATAAAATAATGATATAAAAGTCTATTTGACAGCTCGGTTTATTAATATTTTTTTTTCAATCACGGTAATTCTGAATAATACAATTGAAGCAGTAGTTTCAAAAAGAAAACTGGAGCTTCTTTAATGAGACTTAATTTTTAGCTTTTAGTCTATTAAAAGATGCTTAAAATAAATTCCCTATATACTACATATGGTAGGCTGCCCATTTAGCGAAGAATTCAATTTCATCTTTATATATATGATTCATTTTAATTTCGCAAATTTTGTTTATGATTCAGCAAGATTATATTAATTAAATACGTGATAATAAATAGTTGATCCTATATTATACTTAAAATATGTAGAAAATGTTTCTAAGTCTTTACAGGGAGGTATTTTCTTAATCAAGATGCCTAATCTAAAGAACATAGAGAGATCTGAATTAGCACAAGGTAGGCCAATAGACCTTTTAATTGTCATTAAAAAAAAAGTGAAGGGAGGGGAGGGGTGAGATACATTCTGTTACACCTGAACAAGATCAACTTTTGTCTTGGCTCACATTTTTAAAGAATTAAGGTATGTTGAATGAAATAAAATTCAAATATAAAATTAAAGTAAATCAACTTCAATTTAAAGTAAATAGGTTCTTAAATCTCATTTACCCAAGTTTTATGGTTTCCATTAGGAAAAATATATAGAATTAACTAGTAAGAAAATAAATATGATCATACACCCAACATGGCACTGAATAAAAGTGCCTGGATGAATACAGGTAAAGTAATCGAATTTTGAGGATGAAACAAAATTATCTGGAATATAAGTCAAGATATTTTTGAGTTAGCCGACGACAATTGGACCCAAACATGTGGTTCATCCTCATGGCTTTCCTTTGGAAGTTGAGACAAGAACTCAGTTCTTTCAACCTTCAGTTCTTTAATTACATTAGATATGACTCTGGTTTTTTCTTTTGGTTTCAAAATTAAATTAGAGAAAGGAACATAGTCGACTGACCAATTATAAAGATGAAACAAAATTGTCTGGAATGTCAGTCAAACTAGTTTTTTTGGGTTTCAAGCCAAACATGTGGGTCATCCCATTGTTATCGCTTGGAAGTCGAGACAAGAACTGCGTTTGTAAAATTCCTTAATATCAGAACTAAATTGTTAATGAATTTATTAATTGAATATGAGGAACACATGATTTTTTATCAAATATAATGTTACACAGAGTAATCAACTACCATTAAATTTGATGATTAAATAATTTTTTTTATTTTGGCATTTATAGCAAGTAGCAATTACCACAAAAAATATCTAAAAATGAAAAAAACTGATAAGAAATCTGATAAGTATCACTTTTATTATATATTTTTCCAAATGGCTATCCCATCAGGAAGGATATAATTATTTATATGAGAAATTAAGAGTTAAAAAAATTATTATATTTTTATATAATAAAGATTTGACTTATTTGGTGCAGAGAATATTTTATCTTAATATAAACATTTCAAGGGCCTAATAAAGAGAACAATTATTTAGGATGAAAATAAGTAATTAACTCTCCATTGAAGAATTGGAATTGACTTTATCAACTGAAATACTTACTAGCATACATCATTAGTTATCCACTTTACAAAGATATGAGCAGGGTATTTTTGTTACATTATTCCTTCAATGTATTATCAAATAATGGCATTAATTTCAATCTTTTCATTTTTAAAAACTATATAATCATGAATAAGGATTATCTTGAATTTGATATGATCCACTTTTTTATATTATTATTGTTACATTATTTTTTAAGTTTTACAATGTAAATATAGATTATCCTTTACATAAAAGGGGAGATAATACATCAGTATAAGCAATTATTTGAGGATTCCAAGCAAATTTTGTTTTACAATTTTTTAAGTGTTATTTTCATAAAATTCAAATTTTCATTCTGAATTAAAAGTATTCTTTTACCAGTTTTAAAATAAAAAATACTATTAATAGCATAAGGTAATTTAAAATAATAAAACCATTCAATATTAACATCAACACTTTTATAAAAAACTTCAGAAGGAGTTGGTCAGGGGTACGGTCAAATTAAATACTATATATACTATTGTAATTAATTTGATACATTAAATATAATATATTATAACAGTATTTTATTGGATAAACCAATATAATAATATTATTATATATAAAAATATTATAACATATAGTATTTAATTTGAATAAAAACCTGACCAACTTCTTCTCAAATTATAATCATTGTTAACCATCTCCATACCACTTTAATAAAAGACATATAATTTATCGTATTAAATGCAGGAAATTGTTGGATAAAATTATTCAAAATAATCAACATACAACACAAGTCAAAATTATTTGCATACTTGATTATTATAATGGAACATTTACTCTGTTACTAGTATTAAACCTTTTTTTTTTATTATGTAAAGGGACTACCTCTGGCTTGAACTACTGATTTTGGTTTTGATGATTCTGGAATATTGTATCACTCCTCAGTAATGACACTTAAATTATAGAAATTAGAAACATTGGTTTTCTGATTTGATCCTTGAGGTATTTTCACAGGTTCTAGGGTTAATATCCACTGAGGTGGGGATACCATCCGTTTCTGTAGATTATAGAGCATCCATGTCTTAATTTTCCAAGCTGTGCGTTTGTGGTCACTGTTTTGCTGAAAATTTATATTATTTTTAATGTGAAAAATTCAACAAAGAAAAAATCATAATTTGACTATAAAAAAAAATCTTGTTGATGGTTTTGTAAATTAGTTATTGCTTCAACAGTCAAAAACACTTCTAAATATTAAATGATACTCAGGGAACAATTGAGATATGTGAATTATATATAAGATTTGTGAATGGTGATAAAAAAAGTCTGTGAATTGAAAAAAAAAAATTAAAAATCGTTCAGTAGAAACAGTTTTTGATAAAGAATTAATACATATGAATAATTTTTAGTTGTCCTTATTTGAATTCACTAACGAATTCAAAGAGAAGGTTTCAGGGCTCAAGCCGACTCAACATAGATACATAATATTATAAATATATATTTGTTTCTATGATTAATCTGAACCAAATACTTAAATTATCACATGTTCTCTTATTATCCGGCAGTGATCAGGTTATTGTTTGTAAATATGTAATGATTTTTTTTTAAATGAATTTCGGAAGTTTTTAAAAATAAAAGCTGTTTTTCCCGTTTCAAGCCCTGGTCTATACTATATTTATATTGCAAGAAAGTTAAAAAAACGTTCTGTAGATGAGAGTAATGAAATGGCAAACAAAAGTCGGCGAATAAAATGCCCGAAGAATATTTTTGAAAAATTCAGAGATGAATTTTGGTTTACTTTTTTTTTTTTAATTATCCAGGATGAAGTATAGTCAGAAGTTTCAGCCTGAAAAAAAAATCTCTCGACTATATGTTGTCTTAGAAATTGTTTGAAAACTTTTGGAGATATGGAAAAAAGTTTTTCGGCCGGTTGTTATATTTTCCTAACTTCATCTACATGCTTCAGAAAGAAAAATGTCATATTTCCTTTTTTATATTCATAATATAATTCTTAAAGTTAATCTTCATATCTGTATTTATTTAAGTTTATTTTAAATTAAATATGTACTTAATGTTCATACTGTGTCGGTATTTTGAACCGACTATTAATCACGATCTCAATGATTTTAAATTGTGTACGTGGGAAATCTCTTAAACTCAAATTAAATTAACGGTTGATATATCTTTTGAGATAAACCTACAAATTGGTTTATAGCTATTTTATAATACTAGTTGGCCCGTGCGAAAAATTCACATAGTATATTGTTGAGTGATCAAATGAGAAATTAATAAGAAAATAAAATAATGCAATGTATTATAAGATAAATAAATCAATTGTTACTTTAATTGATATAATTTAATATCAAAAATATAATATAAGCTTAATATAATCGACAAATGAAACCAAAATTAATTTAAAACTTCATTAATGTTTGGAAACAACATGTTTCCAAATTTCAAATAGCTGTATTTTTGCTTATAATTGTCCGATTTCGAAGATTTTTCTTCCCTTTTGTAGGTTATTTAGAAATCTTTGAGATAATCATTGGCATAACCCAGGGAATAGAGTGTAATTTTTGAGTTATTCTCAAATAAATTTTCTTTTCTTTCATAACGTTTTTGCCTGAATTTTCTGGCATGGTGTCCCATGGCAGCACTTCAATTAATGTGAAGTTGAGTGAATGGGAACCCATTGCCTTGCATTATCTCGAAAATGGTACGTTTTAGTACTTTAAAACCCGAGGTCCGTCCGAGTCTCGGTGCACGCATCAAAACTTTCAAAGCTCAATTTGTCCCTTATCGAAATACAGACTTACCACCATTCCAATATTGAAGTGTAGCAAAACGTTTTTATCGATTTTATTTATTTTAGAAAGAAAAACAAAAGCGGAGAGTATGATTCAGCCAAGCCCCGTGAACTAATGAATACAACGGTACTCCATTCTTGGTATTTGAACATGACATGGGCTTATTATTTTATTTTCCTCCCTACCCTGCCTTTAAGA